CAACATTGTCTTTTTCTTTTTAAACAGTACTCGGGGTCAAATACACGGTGTTTTATCGTAAATATGATTCCAAATAGGTCACAGGTCACACATCCTTCAGATAGGCAGACAAGTACAAGCAATCGCAGAGCTCGATAATATCGCCTCGTTTATGTGATCTTGTTCCGTCGATACAGAACCAATAGTTAAAGGTCGTATCTAACATGCGGCATCGAGACACAAATGAAATATTACCGATGGTAACTATCTATTCACAGAGCTAATCCTTGACCACTACGGATACAGGATTTATTGTAAATACAAACGGAGCATGTGTTCTTAAAACAATGATTTATGCGAGCGTTCAAATCAAGTTATTATAAGTCGATAAAGACCATTAATATAATTTAGAATTATGGTTCAGGGTAAGAAATTCAATTTATCGATGGAAATAAATGGTGATTTATTAAGTTTTAATGACAGTGAATCAATTATAAATTATAGCGTTAGTAATGAGTTGACATAAGGTTCATGTTGTTTATGTAAATTATTTATTTGCTTTAATACTGGTAGTCGTCTTCATTTTCTTTCATTGATTTTAACTTGTTTTTAAAAGAAATTACATAAAAAAATACTCTTTAACGTTTCTTGTTCGGAATTTAAGTTCAAAAGCTACATTTCTCATTATCTTATACCTGAATTTATTACCATAACGAAAATAATGTAACACCATTTACACATACACTTGAGAATTTAATAATCCAAATGGATGAAATCTGATATGTTAATATAAAATATAAATCAACAAAATAATAAACCGAGTATTAGCCACAATGTGCAAAGTAAAAGCAGATCGCAGTGAATACATCCACAACGACATTGTTGTGGTAAATCTCGGGTACAAGCCTTTTTGATACAAACTAGCGCATACTTTCACTGGGAATGGAAAGTAACGAGGACAATACCTTAGTGGAAAATAATCCCTTTCGGCAACTTTCCGTTTGATGACAAGTTCCCAAGTAAGGCAATGCCTACAACATTCTGTTTCATTTAGTTACAATACAATAATAACGATATTAAATAAAAAAAAATGTGTTATGGAACTATCTATTTCTCGTAAAGTACATCATTGGTCTAATTTTTGACACAAGCGTAGAAGAATCAAGACTTCACAATTCACGGCATATCGGCGTGCACCTTTATTACCTGCGTTTACATTTTTAAGCTATAATAGCAAGCTAGACTTCAGGCCATAAAATGTACAAATAAACGTTCGAGTACAAAAAATCTAAGTAGTCAAGTCTACAATGGCTTTCGCCTGATTATTCCATTTACGGATGTTCGTGGTGCAATTTGTCTGCTTATTTGTATCGGAATCTTCGTTGGTGGTCTTGGTCACGCAGAACTAATTATTATAAAGAAATGTGAGTTTCAGAGAGATGTTTGTTGTTAGCTGTATATTGATTTTGTCCGAAATGTTGAGACACTTACTGTTACATTCAGATACGTTTTACGATTACTTAAAGTTTAATGAATATTCCCTTACAAAATACTCGTCAAGAAATCATTAAGAGATGTGTACGACTCTCTGATTCGATTCGATTTATTTTATTTAATACCATCTCAACTAAGCAATTTAGGATTTTTACATGTAGTAAATAATTACTCAACAAACCAAATAACAAAATAATACCCTCTTATTGACCTGTTAGCATTAAAAACTTTGGAACGATATTATATGATAGTGGTATAGGTAAAAGATAATACAACACCTTATCTATTAGAGTCAACATATCCGGACACATTAATCGGTTGTTTCTGATCACGATTATTTCGAACTTAGATTAACAATTGCAGTAAATTTTGCATTTAATTTCTATGGCACAGTTTCCAGTTGGACCGTATGAAACATGGAATTTATCTTCTTGTATCGGACAATTTGCTTATCTACAGTTTGATTTCACGTCTCACATTATACCCTAACCTGATACGGTCACGATCTGATTCCGATATTCGACCAATTGTTTACGAATTGTATGCTTGTGAATTAATGTTACAAAAGTACCAGTCGTATAAATAATACAAGTGTTTAAAGCTGGGAAGCTTAAAACATGAAAGAAATATGCTGATTAGTGAAACGCGTTAAAAGAATAAGCAATCGTTGAATCTACTTCTTGGTACAGTAACCTTATATTATCGTTTCAATTGGTTATACGGTTTTTGTATTGATAATTGCGATATGCAAAGTAAATGCTGCGGAGCAAAATTTTATAACGCAAAAAGAACGAGATTTTGTAAGTAAAAAGCTATGTAGGGTGAACTTTTATTAATTAATATAATGGAATCACTTAGCGGTGCCCGGGCAGAGAAATTTCGTTCCATATTTAATGTTATTACTGGGCTATTAGCATAATCGCGAAGTAAATGTAAATTGCGTTTTAATGTTTTCAATAAAAACAACGGGACATTTCTTAGATTTTAGGTATTAAATGGCTATTTAAAATAACCCATAATAATGGCAAACTTAACGCGGAACTCTAAACATTTTCCGATTATTTGTAATGGCTCTTAAGGCATGCTTTAAGTGTGTAGCAAAACATTTTTCTTATATTTATCATAGCTTTTTTAGATTTTATTTAATGAAAACGCGTTAACATAGGAATTTTCAAATGCAGTTCCGAGGACATGAAGAGTATACAAATACACCCACAGCCAAAATAAATATTTACTAGTTGCAAAAATATTGAACTAGATATGATAGATATAGAAAATTCTGGTTATAGACATTCTGTGTGCAAGGTCATATTATTTCGGCGTAACTGTTAATCGAAAGATTGTATTTAAAATTACACAGTAAACTTTGGTTACTTGTTCACAAGCTGTGTATAAATGATTGAAAAAAATATTTTTACATGTCTTTTTTAAAGTTGAAAACATTATTACACCTACAAATAGCGTTGTTTAATAAAATAAGATTAGAAATAATAAAAACAAATAAAACCCTGGACCTATTATGTCAATTACGTTGGCAACTGACTACACAGCTGTCAAGTGAAGGGCTAATCATTGTGGATGGCCAGTTATGAAAAAAGGTGCGGAATGTGGTACTGCAGTAGTCAGGTATTCGAGTCAACGTATGATTTAAAATCACCTAGCCTAAATAATTACACGGCGATGCGGTGAATTACCTCCGATGAGTGAGAATTACGACCAAGTCGTTGAGCCCAGACATACAGGAATTATTGCTCGTTATTAATTTTGTTTTATCAATATTGCTGAAAAAAAAAAGTATCCAAGTGTTGACTCATCGCGAATATTTGCAGTTGCAAGCTTACATATTTTTTTGGAGTGGAATAAAAATTATTAAAGTGAAATATCAGCTAGAACATGAAAAAAACAACACAAACACACAGTAAAATCTCTGAGAAGTATATAGTTAACTGTTCTCTCTAATGTTTTTTAAATACATTATGTTGTTCTACATTTGAATATCAACCTAAAACAATGGATAAACGCGACTCATTTTTAAATAACTCATTCCATGTTGCCAACACCTGAAAAATAAACAATAAATGTCCGAGTACAAATAGTAATATGAGCGATAAACGAGACAAAGTCGCCGCGCATCGGGAATCAGAGGAGGGTCACGACGCGCGAGTTAACGACGCACTAATAGCGGTCGTGTTCGTCGGCCACGCCCCATCCCCAACTCGCCGCCTCGCCCCGGCTCGACATTATTATCCCTGACGGATTATGTCATTATTTGTTAACAATAAACATGTAGCTTAATAATATTTCCCTTAAGCTGTAACAGCTTTCTTCGAACCATTGAATGATAATAGCTCTCGCTATTCTATAACGCTAGGGCGTTTAGTTATTCGCCTTCCTTGAAGGGAGCCAACTGTTATGTAAGTTCTGTGTGCAATTTGACGGAATTGTAAGATTGAACATGATTTACTCTTGTAACTTTGTATTCATACTGATTATTTGAAATACAGTTTTAGGTCTTTTTAACGCCAACTCTATGACAAACTATATAATAGGTAAATTTAATAAACAAAAAATAAAACTTTTAACTATAAACTAAATCGTACAGAATGCCATCGATTTCAACAACAACAAAATCGGTGACAGTGAAATTAAAAACAAAGCAACAAAAAACAGACTTTCGCGGTACTGGATTCAAAGAAAACGTGCAAATATTTGTGTAACAGTGTAAACATTCAATGCACAAAATAAATTGCTTCCATATCTTGAACCGTGTCTTTAAAACATGTTTTAGTAAACTTTCTTTTGTCAACTAGGTCATGTTTTTACAAAAAAAGCGACTTCAAATTGAGTCGCATGTGCAAAGCGATACCGTTTGTTTGTAAATTGCATTGTCCACCGATGTGACAAATAAGCATTGATCTCGAAAGTCCTTAATAATCTTAACGGTAAAATGTCACGAATAAATAATCTGTCATTAAAATAAAATTGATGTCTTCACTGTTAAAAAAAGGACCATAACTGAGGCTCGATTACTAATAACGAGGTATTCAATCTTATTCTTATTGACACACTAGCGCGATAATTCTTTATCGAGAATGAATATCGAGTGTATGCGCTGTAGCGATGATTTAATATCCAGTAGATAGGGTAATATGAGCTGGTTTCTCACCTGCTACTTATGAAACACAAGTCGAAATTTCGCATTGAATTAAAAAAAAAGTTTTGTTATTTGTACTCATCCTGTTCTTACAAAATGCTACTGAATACTCATAGTATTAACAATAAACACAAAAGTAACTATACAAAGTTTTTGCATTTCCGCACAAAACGATGACAAACCGATTTGATATCGTATATCACATATGAAAGTATGTAACAAAGTCTAAGCAATTTACATATAGTGAATAGCAGCGCCTTCGTCGTCACTAGATCTATTTCCACCGGCAATCACAACTGCTTTTAAATTTACTATTGCGTGAGGGCAGTCGTATGCTAAGTGGAAATAGGCTTTAATGGTATTTCCAACTCACCCTTAACCGCTGATCGCCGACCGTCCACACTCGACTCGCGAAGTCGTTGGACGCGCCCACGATGTACGCACCCGTCGAGTCGAAGTCCACCGACATCACACCCGCGTTCGAACCCACTAATGCACCTCTGCTTTCCACCACACCTACTAAACAAAACTATAGGTATATATCTGAAATTCATAATCAACAATAATTGTAAGTATTAGTAGCAACACTTACTTTTCGACATATCCCATAGTTTAACTTTCCTATCCGCGCCTCCTGTTGCTAATATTCTATCTGTTGGACTCCATTTGACTGCGTTCACTTCACCATCGTGCGCGTCCTTTATAGTAAGAAAGTCTGTTTTAATTACACTAATATTATATATGCGGAAATTTAGATGGATGGATGGAAGTTTGTTACGAGTTTTTAGCCTAAAACGGCTGAACGGACTTCGATGAAATTATGTAGAGGATAGTTTGAAAGAAGACATAGGCTACTTACTTTTGATTTTTTTTTTAATTCCACGCTGACGGAGTCGCGGGCGAAAGCTAATATTGAAATAAAGAACAACGTTCATGACTCTGAACAAATGGTATAGGCTAATGTTGCAGTCTGCTAAAGTAATAATTACAATGATACTCACAAATCTCAAGCTAACTTTGGTGGGCAAAGAAGATGTGTAATAATGGATTGTATCCATAATTTTGTCGTCACTAGAACCTCCGGAGCCTCCGCTACTTCTACTGCTACCCTCTCTCGCCGCGTCTTCCAATTCCTTGCGGACTTTGTCACTTTTCTTCCTAAAAGAAACAACATTCAAGTCAAATTCTCATCACATCATTTAGTCTAAGAGTTTGAGATCCATAAAACCATAATTAGCGACTCATTCAACCAGCGCAATAAAAGCGTCAACGTGCTGTAAACCTCAATATGCTGAAATTAAAAAAAACAGGCCATGCAAATTTCAACGCCGATTTACCTATCCTATATCATACTTAAAGATGTAACATAATTTGTTAACATAAAATTTCAACAATTTACGTCATTTTCGTTCTTTTATTGAAAACAATTTAGCTAAAAGTTCATACTGGAAATACTTCTACTGTACAATTATTTTCACACTATTATAATACAGTAGTCTGCGGAAATCCTATATTATACGTGATAACTTTTTTATTTGTTTACACGACGCTCGGATTACTACATCATAAAACCAGAAATAAACCAAATTTAACGTTCTTTTAACCATAGAATTAAACTATCGAGGAAAAACATTTTTTTAATTCATTTTTATAACAATATACTTGATATAAATGTTTTCATTTAAAAATACAGATAGGATTACACAGTTTAACAATAAAAAATGCTCAAACTCAATGCTCAAATAGAGTTGAGGCCACAGAAAGAATGTATGGATAATTTAAATTGGAATGTATGGAGTGGAGCAAACCTACAATCCTCAAGGATTCATATCCTTCGGTTGGTGAATACTTTAACTTAAGGGTGTCTTATCGCTATTTACAATTTTTGTCGAAAAAAACATGCGTTTTAAAGCATTTCAATTTCGAACATAAGCCTCTAGCGTATTTATATAAGCCGGAAATGTATAAATCTTCTCAACTAGATGGATGCGAGCAATAAAACTAAATTGTGGAAACGAGCAAATCCAGACAGCTATAAATCTGAGAGTATAAATGCATAAATTTAAAGTTATAAATATATTAATACTTGATGCATACAATTTTAGGACTCTATACACCATGCTTCTATACCCATTATTCTATAAGAATGACAAAAAAAAGTTTATGTTCTAAAACTAAGAATATTTCTTTAGTAAATAAAAAAAGTTATATGGTGCTATGGGTGGATTTACCTTTCAATGCAAAATAACTAAGTTCTTCGCTCTAATAAAAAAAATTGAAAGAGGATTAAACAAAACCGTGAAATAAAAAAACAAAGTTAAAAAGTGAATATTAGGATCATGACAATGAATACAACTTATTTTATATATAGATTAATAAACAAACAAGTATACAATGAATTCAATCAATAAGGGATGTTAAGACAAGTGCAAACATTGTTATATCAAACAAAATAAAATTCACTTAGAAACACATTAATAAAGGGGAACACTACAGTTATGGACAGCAAGTCAAACTGCAAAATAAAGGAAAGGAAACCCATACAAAAATAAAGACAGTAAACAGAATGGATCGTCAGTACCATAGTGCAGTTAAAACAAGGGATATATGGGTAATTTACCATGGAGAAGTAAAATAATGTCAGCCCTACAAACGCCACAATGCCGTAAAACCACATCCTCATTCACATTATATCAAACTCACCCGAAACTAACTCTACCAAAGGTGTTGATGAAAAACGCGGTAGGGTTGCTTGACCTGTTGAAGAAATTAAAACAAAAAAAAAGCAAACAAAAAAATCACAAATACTTATGCAAGCTCTGTATTCGCACAAAAACCCAATCTATCAAACGCATATCAATGACTCGTTCTAATTGTGAACACAATATAGCTTTTTTCATTCGTAATGTATTGTCCAAAAACCCCTTTACTTCAAAGTTATTTTTAAAATTAAAATAAAAAATAAACAATTTTAGTTCATCCAATACATGACAAATGAAAAATGTCTACTGTGCAGTTTTATAGCATTTAATTTATATTTCAATCTACAATGCTTAGCAACATTCACTAAAATAAAACTACTAATTTATTAACTAAATGACCAAATGCCCCACGCAGACACAAAATATAATCTATGTGCAAGTAAAATTTGTCAATAAAAAAGCTTAATACAGCATTTTTTTAAATAACCAAGGTGACATTTTTGTAGTTAAAATACAATTTTATTATTACAAGCACATTGAAAATGTCAGTAACGTTATAAACAGGTGCGATGAATATTAATTTATAAATATAACTCACTTTAGAAAATGTTCATTTTCTTCATTCATTTTATCCGCATCCTTAGCTTTGTATTTAATTAAACGTTCAACTAAAGATCGATTTTCATCCTGAAAAGAAAAACCTACATATTAACTGCAAATAAATATAGTGATTTATCATTGGTAGAATATATTACCCGTTTACGCATTTTCATAGACATAAAAAAGCACAGATATCAAAAACTCAAAAAAAATATCCCGAAGTGGTGCACACTATGGTAACGAAATTTCGACTGAACTCTGTTTGTGAATTTATACAGTGTGTCCGTATTCCACGCCTATGTATAAACATTGATACACGTAACGATAATCACATGAGAGTCGTAAAAGATACAGGGTGTTACATTTTACGGCACTAAAAGTATCGTTAACTAACGCACTAATGGAATTAAACATTCATTTTATAACAGAGTTACTAACCTCATCCAATTATATTAACACTATACAAAGATATATTATCATATTGTTTTCGTGCATTTTATTTTTCGTTTGTACCTTTTTTATATCTTGAAGTTAAAAAAATTAACGTCAACATTAAACCATACATAAAACGGATTTTTCTAAGATGGTTTTCTTGATTTATTAAACTAAATCTAAGTAGATATATATTAATATCCTCCATCCAAATCTATTTTAATTACACGATATATATTTCATACTCTATGTTTACCTTTGACTTCAAAATATTGATATATTTTCGTCCTATGAATCTAAAAATAGCTAATACCGCATTCGACCTTCGTACTTGTGGAAAATTTCGACAATTTCTATACGTATGCAATAAGAATCATACTGAATCAGATGGACAAATCCTCAGTTTTGGCGAAATGCCATAACTCCAATGATGCAATAAAAATTTGAAGTTCCAGTGTGTTAGGCGCGTCGCTCACGGCGCTCTACGCTGACAGGGACGACGGAATATTTACGATCGTGTATTAGGTGAGGAGTACACAATTGACTTTTGAATTAATCTCGTTACACCATGTGTGGGCCGCGTTAATGGTAAACATATTTGCTTATTGCTATGCCAAAAATATTTGAAACGCGTAAATCTATGAATTTTAGTATTTGAAACATGTATCAGTTTTATAAAATATTTAAATTTGATGTATTACAGATTTATAGTTTTTAAAATCGCAAGAAAATTGATTAACAGTTTAGTGCTTGTCATATTATTCATTACTAGCTTTCGCCCACGACTCGGTTCGCGTGGAGTTAAAAAAGTAAGTAGCCTATGTATTCTTCCAGAGTATCCTCGATGTGTATGCTTAATTTCATCAAGAACCGTTCAGCTTTTAGGCTAAAAACTCTAACAAACATCCATCGAAACTTTTGCATAACATTAGTAAGATATCTTATTTTTTTAGTTACCTCAAATCTCTGAAATGACTTGTGATTGAAGTATTTAGTAAATAAACTATTTTTTCAAATATTTGGATTTATTTAATGTAATAGTCCATTTTTGAATTGTTCAATTAAATAACTTGAATAAAAACTTTGATTGTTACCGGAGGCTGAATAATAGTATAACTTTATTTGTAAAAGACTACAACTATGATATTTTACCTGTGCTTTTCTTAATTTATCTTCCACAGATGATAAAGCTATTTGTAACGCTTGGTATTCATCTCTTATAACTTGATTGAGTCCTTGTAACTCCGCCATGTTTGTTTCATACAATTGGATTTCCGCTCTCAATGATGCTATTAATGCTGTATTTTCTGAAATACTAGAAAACATAGATTTACATTAGTACCATTCATAAAATAACATTTAATAACTAAAATAATTATTGAATAATTAAACATTCAGTAACTAAAACATTAATAACAAAGCCAGTAAACAATTAACATTTTATATATCTATTTAAACTGAATATGCATCCATTGCAATTAAGAACCTTAAAATTATCGTCATAAAATGGTTACTTCAATGAGTCTACACTTAGAGCACTACATCTGAAACTAAACTTTCATATAGCTGTTTAGTCTCTTTCCTATGAGCTTATATGTGTGTGCGCTCACAATTCAGTTTTTAGTTGTGCAACTAAACAGTTGAATTGTCTGCTAAACAATTGATTATCGAATAACAGTTGTGCCATAGTTTAGTCAAAGGCCTGCTCTTAAAGTAAACATCCAATTTATATTTAATTCGTATTATTCAAATGTTAACTGAAGCTTGTAACTTCATTCGTCAAGGTTATTGCATTGTTGTCACAATAAAGGATATGTCATTTTGTATTATACTCAATTTATGTGTAAAGGGGCTTACTTTTCAATAATAAAGTCATCATCCACTTGCCCTTATCCCTTTTGGAGGGTCGGCACAGTATGTCCTGCTCTTCCATACATCTCCCATCATCCATCATATCTAAATCCACTCTTTTCTTAAGTATATCCTCTTTCACACAATCCATCCACACTTTCTTCAGTCATCCTCTACCTTTGTAGCCATCCACATTCAATCATAACTCATTCTGGTTAATGTCCCCATCATCTAGTCGCATGACATGTCCATAAAACGCTAATCTATTACTTCTCAATTTCTCCACCAATGGTGCTACTTTCAATCTTCCTCTAATTTAGCCTTTCTTAACTTTATCCATTCTTGTCACAGCACACATCCATCTTAACATACACGTCTCCTTTCATCCGCAAAGTGCTGTGATAGATATGAGCCAAAGGCACTAACTTTGTTAAGATACAAGAGACAAAAGTAATCAAAACTTTAACTGTCTATAAGTTTTATCGTACAGCCTATTACTAACATTTTTGTGCTCATTTGAGATGATTGATGAATCTCGATTACCCAAATTTAATAAAAAAAATGTTTATTAAGATCTTAACTATTATGGAACGTTTAAATTTTAACTTACATGATATCTTTTGCTTGTAAACTCTTTTCTTGTTCATGTACTTTTGCATTCAGACTAATTATTTGCTGTGCACTCTCTCCCCTACGCCTGTGTAATGAAGTCAGTTCCTCTTGTTGTGCTAATATTTTTTGTTCTAAAGCTTGTATTCTTTCATTACTAGCACCTCCTGGAATAACATTAATTTTGTATTTAGATAACATAGTAAAAAATTAATCTCAATAGTACTTAGTATGTAATTTTTTTTTATTAAAGGACATTGATTTAAAAACAATTGAAATTTGTTTTACTATCAGTTTTATACATTCAACAACTATTGATTCATACAATACTTACTACATTTAATAAACAGAATTGTTCCCTTCAACTCTAGACCAAAACACTTTATTCAACCTTCCCGATATTTAAAAGTTTAGAACTTGGAAACATCGACAGATCTTAAATAAGCAAGACCAAAACCACAATACATGTAATTTTAATAAGTTGGTTTTGCATTATTTGTCATACTGAATTCTTAATATGTGTCAAAAATTTTCCAACAGTTTAAGAATTATAGAAACACAAAACTATAAAATTTATTTCCTGTGATTGCATTGATAATATCAAAAACTTTAAGTAACTGTTAAAGTTAACAAATACCCTTATTAACCCTTAGCGTGGCAAGAATGCTTTTTTGAAGTAAATTTAAAAAAGAAAATGTATACCGGTAGCTTCTCTGGACTATAAAAACCCTTGAAACATCAAATAGTGATTGTATATTTTTATACTTTTGTTTGTATGTTATATACTTAATGAACATAAATGATAATAATACCAACCTGCATTAGAAAGTACAGTCTCTGTGCTGGTATAACGAATTCTTTCATTAAGCAATGTTAATTGTAAATTTTCATTTTTCAGCGTATTAACATTATCAAACAATCTGCTCTCTGAAATGCATAAAAAAATTTTATTAAAAAATTTGAAAATGTAAACGATTAAAAAATACAATTCTATGTATGGCTTTTATCATTATTAAAATTCTTATGAAATAATTAATAATAGGGATATAATTGAATGGTTAAAAGTTTTGTTTGAAATATTTGAATTTCAAGAATTAATAATGCTTGCCATAGATAATAGATTATATTATATGTTGTAGGTATTTAAATGTGATAACTCATTAAGTTTACTTAATTATAAATGGCATATAATGTCAATATTAGTAGACAAAGGAAACAAGTATAGGTTATGTTACTTACGAAAGGCTATGATATCATGAAACGCTGTTGTTTCTTTTTTATTCCTTAACTGCAATTGATTTATGATACTGTTTCTCCACTGTCCACCTTCCATTTTTGATCAGAAGCTTATAACATTGATTCAAAATTAATACTACAATACACTCCAGATATCAAAACAAACAGATGTCATGACGAAAATAATAATGTTTCTTCTCTTTATCACTTTTAGGGCATTGTAATTATATTTATCTATTTTAATGAAACAAATAACGTTTCAAAAAGCGTAATTAACAAATTGATAGGAATATTTACGTTCGTAAATATTAGGTTTAGTTTTCATCTGTCAAATACTGTCAAACATCTGTCAAATTCCAAAGTCAAAGGCAACTTCAATCATACATAATCGGACAATGGTATTCACAGCATAACTGATATTGATAATTTTGTCTCACATTTTTTAAAAATATATTTAATCTTATTTGTAAAGGCAAATGATAAATTAATTTTCGTTTCATTAGTCTTATTATTATTAGTTCTTTTATAAATAGCCGCATACCCTCATTGGAAATAAACTTAAAACAGGCTGGGTTTGACTGGTGCAAAACGGGTGTAAGAAGTAATTTTAGTTTTATTTTTTTGTTTAATTTATGCAATTTAAAATGTTGTTTAAAACCATAAGTTTGAATAAGGTGAAACATTGATCATTCTATGTTGTTCTTGGATAATTTGTATTTAATAATATTGTTTCTAAATCTATGTTGGATATTTGCCAAATCATAATGTGTTACGAGAAGATTGTCCATTTCTATATTTTGTATTCAATTTCAATAGTTGTTTTTTTTTTAAATTGTAACTTCTTTCTTTGTATATTTTAGTTACATGTTGTTTCATACTTATTTGCGCCTAAGAGTTTTTCCAAGATGTGACGACAATCACACAACTCCAAAGTCTGTATTTTTTTAACAGGCGCGTTGAAATACATAACACATTCAAACATTTCATGAAAAATATTATTTTGCATAATAAAAGAACGTGTATAAACGTGTAAGCTACATAATAACTAAGACTAAGTTATCACGGCTTTAACTGTTGCTATTCAATTAAGGATTTGAGATTCAATTATAAGTTTAGAGACAGCAAGGAACTCACTGAATTCCTATTGGCCTCTCTGTTAATTTGCATTTAGAGATATCGATGACCGACACCTTAAATAAATTAGATTTCAGCTGGATGAAATAATATTAGCTTAGTTTTAATTGTAGGTTTATTTGTATTTTAAGAAGAGGTGAGTTTTGTAATATTACTTCAGCCAAATATGCAAGAAAAAGATAACTTTTTGCTATAGTATTTCCTAACAAAAAAGGTACAACATCAAGGATATACTTATGTTATACACAATCATAATATTATATTATTTATCAAGGATGCCAGCGCTTTCGAGAATCAATAGCGTAAAAATCACGAATGGAGTTTGAGCCTAATCAAATAGCCGAAGTTAAAGTGAAATTTGAACGAAGTGGGAATCTCGGCTTTGAATTATTCATTCCCTTCACATGAGTGCGTCCAAAAGGAGTGGATAGGGAGCCCAGTTTTATGCACTGAATGATTCAAATAACCGTTCTCAAGTAATGTTACCTTTTTAATATTGAAAACATTTTACGCTTCTCTACGGCATTTCTGGGTTTTACTTTTCCTCAATAAGGTAACTAGACTCGAGGATTACATGAAGTAAAAACTTATAGAGACTCTCATTATTAATATCTAGTTTGATTTAAATTAAAAATAATTGAACTATAAAAACATTATGGAATGTTCCGTCATCATTTTATTTTGTACTGCAAATACAAACGAGAACAGAAATAAAACATTAAAGCACAAACAATTCTTTTTTCTTTTTTAAATCTTTTCTTTTTTTGATCTCTAGTGAATACAAGCAAGTCGTATTTAGCGGCGCGCGACGATCCGAGAAATAACATCTCAGTGTTGCCTTAAGCGCTTAGGTGTAGTGAAGGTACCTTAAGGTTATGAATGTTGTTTTGTTTACTAAAAAATATTCAATCAAAGTTTTACCTAATTATTGACTTTTTACGAAGACAAAACATCATTTGAATTTTAATTATATTCACATTGCAAAATCTCTTAGTAGACAGGTCAGATAATTAACTCGTTTGGCAGTATCTATTACTTTCAGACTACGTTTTTTTAAATATTCGTGATTGTACAAATACAATTTAATTAAGTAATCAGATTAATCAGAATTAACGACTATTCATTCTATTGCAATAATAAAACGATCGTTAATAAAGCGGTTCTTTTCTTTATCTAGTTGATAAAAATAGAAATTATGAAATTATCGAAACTAAATATTTATTTTTCGTAGTTTCATTTTTAAGAATTGCTATAAATAAAAAGGATAGAGAATCTACAAATAAAATAAGTCAGTCTGAACACTATTATTTAATACCAGACAAATTCTTAGAAATAAAAGAACGCTTCGAGCTTATCTTGTAGATTAAAATATGACTAACTTTTTAATGTTTGTCTGCTACCTGTCATTTCTTCTTAATTAAAAATAAAAATAATGTATAATTTCCATTGCCAGTCCTTAGGGTTTATTTTTCAAATATACCTAAATTCTATTTTAATTCATTGCTGTAGGTAGGTATGTAATAATGTTAAGTAGGTTATGGTAAAGTCTAATTTATTTGAATTTTGTGCTTATGATTAAAAAATTGTACAGACTATAAAATCAGCCTGTAAATGTATCAAAACATACTGAATCATGTTACTGTGAATTAAACAACTGTAGCCGTTAATACCTATGTAAAATGTTTAACAAAACTTGTTAAAGAAAGAAATCAAACACCAAAATTAAACTTTAAAGTTAATCTTAGAAAATGGACGCTGGGCGCAGACTTTTAAAGGTCGCGACACGAAAACGGAATTCCGCTGTCCTCTTTGCAGACGAAGTTGCATGAACGGTCACAAGGTAAGCTAATTAACTTCTATGAGCTATAAACATGAATGTATACCGTTCAATATCACATTTTTAAACATATCACATTAATTGGAGGGTATGCCATTAAGAATGTGAATTATTTATAAAAATTGTATTCGTATTTGTTGCATTATGAAGAACAACTCACCGTTTGAGATATCTTATCTTAAAATCTAATAAAATGTATTGTTACAGTTCACTGCATATACATCGTCCTATAATATGACGTCATGTTTACTATTTAGTTTAAACATTTTTTTCATAAATTACCTGCATAATAAAACCTACGAAACTTTTGGGCAATCTGGTAAATTGTAGGTTATGTGTCGTGACTTAACAATATTCGTTATTGTAAATTAAAGTTGAATCAAAAGGATAAAAGTTTTTTAATCATTTGTTTTAATGTCGCCCACGAGGCCAGTCTAATAATCCTTAAAACATTGCTGAGGCGTCGACTTTACAGCCTAGGCTCATGAAAATACGTCCGATGCATACTAATTAATTACTTCGCTTTAATTGAAGAATGCGATCTATTTTTTATTATTATTCTTTACTATTCTAGAATTTAAATTGTAAGGTAAGAACAAAGAGTCAAAAACAAAAACTATAGAATTATGTCAAAACTTGCTTTTTTCTTCAATAATTTGAAAAATCTAAGACTTAAGATACAGTATTAAGATTTTTATCTTTTCCTATCTATCTAGAACTCTACAGATATTGAAAAGAGTCGTACGATAAAAATAAAACAAATGTGAATAATTATTTCCGTATGTTTATTGTATAACACAAAACGACACCTGGTTATTTTGTTACATATTTTTTTTGTTTCCAGCTATTTACTCTGTAAAAATGTTATTTTTAAATAAGTTTATTTAATTAACGGTAAAATATAAAGTAAAATAATTAAAACGATAGCAATTACCCGAGTTCTCGTCACTGTCGTCTGAAGGTAGATGTCCTTTCGGATTGTCTGTGAACAATTATTTTATTATCGTAGCTAGGATTTTTTAAAAAATGACTTTTAGTGAGATTCAATACCAGTTGTAGCATTACTTGGCGAAATTTCTACGACGCCCCCTTTTGGCTTCCCTTATTATCCACCGTTCTGGGCAGTTGCTTTGATATTGTTTCTGTCCATACTTACTACTTAATACGCTTAAATAAATAGTAAAACCAACCTTCAGGTTCATATTCCCCACGTAATCCTTTCGTACTTCTTGTGCCATCATCATAATCTGTAATATCTATATTATACATAATTTATTAAAACTATATAGTAGTTATATTTCTTATTAAACATTAAAACATTCAATTAATTTCGATTTTATAAATTGTGTAAAGCTGTCCTTGTACCTGATAATGTAAATAAAATGTTCTTACCACTGCTTGTATCACCATTACTACCAGCCGCTGGTTTTTGTACACGTTTTTTAATTTTTTCTTTATCTTTTTCTTTTTCGTCACTTTCGAATGAATCCGCTCGTACGGACGGTTGGGGTTCCAACCTAAACGATTGGCTACCCTCTAGAAGTGTACAAAAACTTTAGAGTTATTCAAAACGAGGTTAGCAGTAACGTTCTTTACATGTTACGCGTTGATCAGTTTTTGAGGTTGAAATATCTTGAACACACACACGCATTAAATTTATAAAGTTGAGCCGAAATAATCTGTTCCAAGCGTAATATAAAACAAGCATATTCGTGCACATGTATAATTTTGAAGACAAGTCGTTACGTTTATAAGTAAAATAACGATAATATCTGTTTCTAAAGGTTAAAATGAACTTCATGCAACCTACGACTTGGGACAAAGTCGATTAAAGATATGCTTAAAGTCACCTAATATTGTGTTCACAGAAACTTAAAGTTCTTGAACTTACTTCAGTTGTTTTAATGAGAAGTAAGCGGCAGTTACTTCTTAATGCGTTTCTATTTACAAGTCGTTTACAACTTAACAACTCAAATAAATTCAGGTATAAAGTAATTAGAAAAAGGCTACACTCACGTAAAGATAGCCCAGTGTTGGCACCGACTAGTTTCAATAATTTCAGTTTAAATAATTTAAAATATAGTCCTTGTTAAGGTTCGTATTTAATCGGAATCGAACAATTTTTAAGTAAAGTATAAAAAACATATCATTAGATTACCTTCAAATCGTCTTATTTTTAGTGATGGCACTCCGTCTGAATTGGATGTTAGATCGAATCCAATATTAAGGTCAACTAAAAATTGGACATGTTAAGCAATATTGGATTTAAAATATTGGCAGAAGTGCGACTCAATATTCTGATTATCTTATTTGAATAGAAATTGCTTATAACACTAGAGTAAGAAACTTT